CTACTTCTTACATGTTGAACACAAATACCTGTACTTTCTACTTCTTACATGTTGAACACAAATACCTGTACTTTCTACTTCTCACATGTTGAACTCAAATACCTGAACTTTCTACTTCTTACATGTTGAACACCAATACCTGTACTTTCTACTTCTCACATGTTGAACCCAAATACCTGTACTTTCTACTTCTCACATGTTGAACACAAATACCTGTACTTTCTACTTCTTACATGTTGAACACCAATACCTGTACTTTCTACTTCTTACATGTTGAACACAAATACCTGTACTTTCTACTTCTTACATGTTGAACACAAATACCTGTACTTTCTACTTCTTACATGTTGAACTCCAATACCTGTACTTTCTACTTCTCACATGTTGAACACAAATACCTGTACTTTCTACTTCTTACATGTTGAACACAAATACCTGTACTTTCTACTTCTTACATGTTGAACACCAATACCTGTACTTTCTACTTCTCACATGTTGAACTCAAATACCTGTACTTTCTACTTCTTACATGTTGAACACCAATACCTGTACTTTCTACTTCTTACATGTTGAACACCAATACCTGTACTTTCTACTTCTTACATGTTGAACACAAATACCTGTACTTTCTACTTCTTACATGTTGAACACAAATACCTGTACTTTCTACTTCTTACATGTTGAACACAAATACCTGAACTTTCTACTTCTTACATGTTGAACTCAAATACCTGAACTTTCTACTTCTCACATGTTGAACTCAAATACCTGTACTTTCTACTTCTCACATGTTGAACTCAAATACCTGTACTTTCTACTTCTTACATGTTGAACTCAAATACCTGTACTTTCTACTTCTCACATGTTGAACTCAAATACCTGTACTTTCTACTTCTCACATGTTGAACTCAAATACCTGTACTTTCTACTTCTCACATGTTGAACTCAAATACCTGAACTTTCTACTTCTCACATGTTGAACTCAAATACCTGAACTTTCTACTTCTCACATGTTGAACTCAAATACCTGTACTTTCTACTTCTTACATGTTGAACTCAAATACCTGTACTTTCTACTTCTCACATGTTGAACTCAAATACCTGAACTTTCTACTTCTCACATGTTGAACACAAATACCTGTACTTTCTACTTCTCACATGTTGAACACAAATACCTGTACTTTCTACTTCTCACATGTTGAACTCAAATACCTGTACTTTCTACTTCTCACATGTTGAACACAAATACCTGTACTTTCTACTTCTCACATGTTGAACACAAATACCTGTACTTTCTACTTCTCACATGTTGAACTCAAATACCTGTACTTTCTACTTCTTACATGTTGAACTCAAATACCTGTACTTTCTACTTTTACATGTTGAACTCAAATACCTGTACTTTTCTACTTCTTACATGTTGAACACAAATACCTGTACTTTCTACTTCTTACATGTTGAACACAAATACCTGTACTTTCTACTTCTTACATGTTGAACACAAATACCTGTACTTTCTACTTCTTACATGTTGAACCCAAATACCTGAACTTTCCACTTCTCACATGTTGAACACAAATACCTGTACTTTCTACTTCTCACATGTTGAACTCAAATACCTGTACTTTCTACTTCTCTCATTTCCCAAACAGCTGGTTCCTTTAGTCTGAATGTGTGTTTGATGCGTGATCATTATTCTTTAGAGTCATTGCGTGCCTATTGATTTGAACACGATCCGTGTATCCATCATTTCCTGGTCTTCTCTAAAGAAGAGGGACCAATGGAAACGTTGTCATGTTGCCGTTGTTCAGCATGGAAACATTCATTAGCTAACAATGACATTATTGTTCTATTAATATAAAGGGAGGTCAGGTACTCTTTAAAGCAGCTGCTAGTTATGGGTACTTTCTACTGAAGTACACTTCAAAGCCTCTTTACTTTGACTTGAGGAAAGAAGTTTAGTCAGTACTTCTACTTTCACCAGAGTATTTTTAAACACGAGTATCTGTACTTCTACTTGAGTAAAGGATGCGTGTACTTCTACTTGAGTAAAGGATGCGTGTACTTCTACTTGAGTAAAGGATGTGTGTACTTCTACTTGAGTAAAGGATGTGTGTACTTCTACTTGAGTAAAGGATGCGTGTACTTCTACTTGAGTAAAGGATGTGTGTACTTCTACTTGAGTAAAGGATGTGTGTACTTCTGCTTGAGTAAAGGATGCGTGTACTTCTACTGGAGTAAAGGATGTGTGTACTTCTACTTGAGTAAAGGATGCGTGTACTTCTACTTGAGTAAAGGATGCGTGTACTTCTACTTGAGTAAAGGATGTGTGTACTTCTACTTGAGTAAAGGATGTGTACTTCTACTTGAGTAAAGGATGTGTGTACTTCTACTTGAGTAAAGGATGTGTGTACTTCTACTTGAGTAAAGGATGTGTGTACTTCTGCTTGAGTAAAGGATGTGTGTACTTCTACTTGAGTAAAGAATGTGTGTACTTCTACTTGAGTAAAGGATGCGTGTACTTCTACTGGAGTAAAGAATGCGTGTACTTCTACTTGAGTAAAGGATGTGTGTACTTCTACTTGAGTAAAGGATGTGTACTTCTACTTGAGTAAAGGATGTGTGTACTTCTACTTGAGTAAAGGATGTGTGTACTTCTACTTGAGTAAAGGATGTGTGTACTTCTACTTGAGTAAAGGATGTGTGTACTTCTACTTGAGTAAAGAATGTGTGTACTTCTGCCCTCTCTGTGCGTATCTTTCATAGCGCTCTGCTCAAAGTGAAAGACCCTGGTCTCTGAGACGTTGGGCTTCCCAGCAGCACAATAACGCCATTCATTCTTCATCATCCTCCCTCACTGCTGCTCAGGACGAGGGCCCCTCTTATCTTCATCATTTGGTTAACCCTCTCTGCAAAGCTATAAACAATCTCTCTCTCTTGTATAGTTTCAGAATCTGGAGGAACATTAAATGTTTACTCAGTTTAGCTTCTTCTTTATTTGCGCTGCTTAAAATACATCCAATCATTTTGTTTCTGTAGCACATTTAAAAACAACAGAGTTGAACAAAGTGCTGTGCATCAACAACTGTAGAAAACACATAGCATAAATACATGAGAAAGAGACGGGACATGAAACAAAAGTAAAACACGAGACGATGAAACCAGATCAGAAGCCACCGACTGAGAAACTCCTACGTGACGTCCAAACAATACAAAACACTAGTAAGATTCAAACATCACATTTCCTGTTGAATACAAATGGAGGAAGTGCTGGGTCGTACTTTTTAAAATAGACATCTTGAAGAGCATGCAGCCCTATTCAAATACCTCTTTGACTAAATGTATATTGTTTTAAAAACATCTTTAAAACATTTATTTATGATTCCCATGCAGAGAAGCCCTCTGCTATTTAACATGTGCAATATTATTATTAATATAAATAATGTTCTATAACGGTGTTTCTCAAACTGTCATACCAAGGACCACTTAACCACCTAACTCCACAAATATCCAAAAACACATCGTTTTTCTAGAACAGATTTCAAATCGCCTGAACATGGTACAAACAAGTGGCAACATGTGTGATGAAGGTGTGGCGCTGGGCTATATCATGCAATCGAAAGTGAAACTTAAGCTCGCTCCATTGCGGAGATATTCCCGCGAGAGTGCGGAAAACTTAAATTTATTTATTTATTTAAAATGTGAAATGTTACCAATATACTCACGGACCACTAGGGGGTGCTCACGGACCACCAGTGTTCCGCGGACCACACTTTGAGAAGCACTGTTCTAGTACGTTTTTTTTGCACTACTAAATACTAGGGATGTAACGATATATCGAATATCGCAGTAAATAAATGTCTCAATACCGTCGTGAGACTGACAAAATCTACCGCGTTATTTTTTTTTAAACCTTTATTCAACCAGGTGGTCCCATTGAGATCATCGATCTCTTTTTCAAGGGAGACCTGTCCAACATGGCAGCAAGTAGGTTACAACATGAACATAAAACAAAAGGACATGGTATTTACAGGGCTACATGTTCATACCTAGAGACATTGACAAGTACCAACAGGTTTATATCTCTGTCAATAAGCCTCACCTTCTTGGCAACAACTGTATTGTTTTTGAAGTGGTGGAGAGACAATGCACAGTTTGACCCACTGCTGTCACCCATGGCCAAAGCATATCTCTCTGTCCCAGCAACATCAGTACCAAGCAAGAGAGTTGTTTCCACAGCAGGGGATTTTGCAAACGCCCAAACATCCCAGCTTCTACCTGGAAATGTGGACATGCTCATATTCCTAAAGGATAACCTTGATGACGCTGAGCGAGTGAGTGAGTGAGTGAGTGAGTGAGTGAGTGAGTGAGTGAGTGAGTGAGTGAGTGAGCGAGTGAGTGAGTGAGTGAGTGAGTGAGCGAGTGAGCGAGTGAGCGAGTGAGCGAGTGAGTGAGTGAGTGAGTGAGTGAGTGAGTGAGTGAGTGAGTGAGTTAGAGTTGAGTTACTTGAAAAACTAAAGTGAAACTTGAGTTATTCTATTGCAGGGTCTGATTATTATATTGTTGACACTTTAAAATACTACTATCTACTAAAATGCTGTACGAATCAGATTTATTATTTAATCAAGAAAAAAAAATTCAAGTATAACATTTTTTTTCTTTATTTTTCAATATCGCGATAAATATCGTACCGTGAGTTTTTGGTATCGTTACATCCCTACTAAATACTGCTCGTCACTGTAGAATATTTTACATTAATGATGTGACCGTCTGTGTTTCCTGTAGATATTTCATTGCTCTTTTTACGGCACTGTCAGTGTACAGTTGTATTATTATGCTGCTGTGTTTATTGTATTTCTTTAACTCTGGCACAACAATTTCCTTCAGGATAAATAAAGTTGATGCTACAAACATATCCACTTCACTTGATCTGTGTGTGCTTACCTGAGCTTTGTTTTCTGTTCCTTTATTAATCATACTCTTTGTTTGGGACTTGACAGTAAGAAGTCTTCAGCGCTCAGACACAGGAAGGCGTCTCCTTCGTCCTCCGGCTCTCCTCCAGGAGGAAACTCTCCCGGTGAGAGGAGTGGCTCTCTGGGGGGCAATAACCCAAACACCTCAGCGCGCAGTGGAAGAGCCGAGACCAAGACCACAGGTACACAAAACTCATTAATATCATAAACAACACATGTTATATGAATTAGAGCGTACCTAGAAAAATATGTGATTTCAACTGTGCTACAAAAGCTTTCCAGACAGACACTTACTGTTGGGAAAATACTGAGTGTCCTCCTCCAATATGAGAGTAGCATGCTAACAACGGTATCCCAACTGTAGCTGTGAACATGGCAGGATGTGTGATTACCTAGAAGAGCATCAGGACTGTTTGAGGCAGATGATAGCTATGTGATTAACATGATGATCCAGCCTCTATGGAGAGAGACATCAAGCATGCTCATTTCTGACGCAATAATGTCACACAGCTAACAATGACATTATTGTTCTATTAATATAAAGGGAGGTCAGGTACTCTTTAAAGCAGCTGCTAGTTATGGGTACTTTTTACTGAAGTACATTTCAAAGCCTCTTTACTTTCACTTGAGGAAAGAAGTTTAGTCAGTACTTCTACTTTCACCAGAGTACTTTTAAACACGAGTATCTGTACTTCTGCTTGAGTAAAGGATGTGTGTACTTCTACTTGAGTAAAGGATGTGTGTACTTTTACTTGAGTAAAGGATGTGTGTACTTCTACTTGAGTAAAGGATGTGTGTACTTCTACCTGAGTAAAGGATGTGTGTACTTCTACCTGAGTAAAGGATGTGTGTACTTCTACTTGAGTAAAGGACGTGTGTACTTCTACCTGAGTAAAGGATGTGTGTACTTCTACCTGAGTAAAGGATGTGTATACTTCTACCTGAGTAAAGGATGTGTGTACTTCTACCTGAGTAAAGGATGTGTGTACTTCTACCTGAGTAAAGGATGTGTGTACTTCTACCTGAGTAAAGGATGTGTGTACTTGTACCCTCTCCTCTCCCAGGTGACCTGCAGTACTCCCCTGCTGTCCTTCAGCAGCGAATGGCCGCAGAGCTTCATCACCTGGAGACCATGGAGGAGTCGGTGCGTCAGCTGGGAGACGTGGAGCGGGTGATGGGAGTGTCCATGGCTCAGCAGGAGAGCGTCTCATTGGCCCAGATGCTCAAGGTGAGGAAGGGGTTCGATGCTGAGAGTAATTTAGTAGGAGGAGTAGTTTAATCATAACTGGGTGTTTACGGTTTATTCATTTGGTTTGTTATTTTATCTTTTCTTGATTACCATTTAGCTCTTTTATGTATTTGTTTGTCTATTTATCTGTTTATTTATTTTATGTTTTTGTTTTTCAATAACAAATATATTTCTTTGTTAATGTAGTATTTGGGAGAAGGGGTGGGATTAAATAAGTGTACACTTCTTCCCACCCCTTTTCGGGTGTGTAATTAAGTAGATCATTTGTTTATATATAATTCTCATGTTAAATTTCATTATACTTGTAATTCTTTTGTATTATTGTTTTACACATTCGAAATAAATCAAATCAAATAATTGTGTCGTACAGCACTACAAAAAAGAGTTTTAGCACGTCCGAAGTTCTCTGTGCTTTTTCGGTGTTTCCCCTTTCCTGTAGTGTGTGGATTCTGTACATTCAATATTCAAAGGTTGTATTGTCATCTGCACAATAGCTACAGTGGAGTTGTTGGCAATGAAAATGCAAAGTCCCTTCAACTGTGCAGCGTACAATATACTCAACATGAGAAGAATAAAAACAGTACAGAAAGTATGAATAACTCTCATGCACTTCAGTGACGTATGTCTGTATCGATGCTCTGAAATAGAACGTTTGTTTCTATATGTGTTGCACTGTTAGAGGTGATCTTTGACCTAAGATTTTCATTGACATTTCTACACTGTAGCTAATGACAATAAAAGCCTTGAATCTTGACGCTCTGAACTGACCTGCTCTCTGACCTTTGACCCTTCAGGCACGGCAGCTGGCTCACGATCGTGACCTCTACGAACTGAAGATCAAAGCTGAGAGAGAAGCGCTGGAGACGCAACTACAGCTGGAGGAGAACAGACAGAGAGTGGCCAGGGTAACACACACACATGCACACACACAGAAACAGACACACTCACACACAGTCATACATACACACACCTCTCACACACAGACACACTCACACACTCACAGTCATACATACACACACCTCTCACACACAAACACTCACTCACAGTCATACATACACACACCTCTCACACACAGACACACTCACACACACACAGTCATACATACACACACCTCTCACACACAGACACACTCACACACTCACAGTCATACATACACACACCTCTCTCACACACACTCTCTCACTCAGTCATACATACACCTCACACACACACACACAGTCTCACTCACTCAGTCATACATACATACACACTCACACACACACACACACTCAGTTATACATACACACACCTCTCACACACACACTCTCTCACTCAGTCATACATACATACACCTCACACACACACACACACACACACACACACACACACACACACACACACACAGAGACACACACACTCATACATACAAATTTCATCAGTCAGTTTCCTCTCCAACTTGTCCTCCCTTAACCGGCACACATTCATGTAATGTATATTTTATGTATATATGACCCAAATATGTATTTATGTTCATTTTCATTCATGGATATCATTTTATTTTATCTTTAATCTGTGCTGTGCTGCTTTTCAATCTAGGCTCATCAACTGCAGGAGAACTTGGCGTCGAATCAGAAGGACACGTTGGAGGGTCTCCAGGAGGCGGCTAAAGAGATGATGAGTCATCAGGCGGAGGCGGCGCGGTACACGGCCGACACCGCCCGACACATCCGAGAGGTGAGCGTCCCTCTGGGGCTCCATCCGGGAACAACAGCTGATTTCTTTTGTAATACTTTCTGCCCAAATAGTTCAATCGTCCACTGAACTGAAAAAACGTGTGTCATCAGCAAACAAGGCAAATTGAAGTAACTTTGAGGTGTCACAAATGTCATTAATAGACAAATGAAAGAGTTTTGGACCCTAAACTGAACCTTGTGGGACTCCACATTTAATCTTCATATAATTAGACGTATTACCATGAAATTGTACATACTGTTGTCTATTCTTCAAATAACTTCCTATTCAGTTCTGAGCTATTCTTCTCATTCCGTAAGTGTGCAATTTAGATATCAGGATGTTATGATCTATCGCAGGGCTATTCAATTAGTTTGGAATGGGGCCGGTTGATGAAAATGATCCAAAGCAAGGGGCCGGGAAAAAGATGGCTTGAAATATGAGCAATCATATTAAGAGCTTCAGATACAGTAAATACTACAACAGCATAGTGGAGTGCATATATTGTGTTTAATGAAATCAAACAACATAGCCCCAAGGCCTTTATAGATCTAGATGGCTCAGAACTCAGTAGGCCGACATGTGAAGCTGATTTAACCATCAACATAATTTCATTTAGGTGAAATTATCTAACCGTTCACGCAGAGATGCAATAAAGGACAGTTTGTCACTACAGTAGCTAGTAGGTGGGTTCGAAACCCGAGCCCGCACAAGTTTTCAGGCAATGTCTTCCCCTCTGTCTCTCAATAGGCGCTTTCACACCGGAGTACTTTTTCCAGTATAGTTCCGATATAGTTCCGAAAATGTCTCGTTCACACCAAAAAAATCCGGAACTAGAACTTAGTTCATGAGAACCTTTTCACCCCCTTTTCCGTCCCTGCTAGAGAGCAGGGACTTTCCTGGGGAGAAAAAGGTTCCTATGTCTGATTGGCTGGGCGGATTGCAAACCACGCCCCGTAAAACTCCCAAAAAGTTTTGTGAAGCCGCCATTTTATTATCCTCGCATTATTAGCATTAGCATTAGCCCAGCGCACCAACGGAGAGAGACTAACTTATGGCAACACAAAATAAAACATGGGAGCGGTGGAGATGAGGAGGTGTCGGTGTTCTGGCGATTTACTCGGAAGGCTTCAGTAGAAGCTGCTGGGACTCCCAGCAGCTTCTACTGAAGCCAGTCCCCAACTCCGGGGACTTCCGGCCGGGGACTTTGGGCGGCAGTATACGCCGTAAAGTGGTTTGCGGCCTGCCAGTAAACCCAAAGCAGAAGAAGAAGAAGTGACGTCAGCGGCTTCATTTGCCTAATCCTCCCTCAGGGAACTTATTCCGGTGTGAACGCGATCGGCTCTTAGTTCATCAGAACTAAAGAGTTCACATGAATTAAGTACGGCAAAGTACTTGGTGTGAAAGCGCCTAATGTAACACCCTCTCTGGAATAAAGGCACTCTGGCCCACAAAAGCAAATCTTAAAAAATAATAATTAGACTACTTTTTAACATTATACTCAAAAGGCCTGTAAATATCACCCCGGGGCCGGAGTTGGCCCGCGGGCCGCCAATTGAATAGCCCTGATCTATGGTATCAAGGGCTTTTTTTTAGATCAATAAATACCCCTATTGTGTTCCTGATTGATTTTTGAGTTTCAGTAAAGGGAACACAATGACTGCAGAGGAGGAAGGCGTAATTCAATTCAAGATTCAAAGGTTTTATCGTCATATGCTCAGCAGCTTCAGTGTAGAAATGGCAATGAAATTCTTCTGACCTGAGCTCCTCCAACAATGCAACATATATAATAAAATACACAAATACAAAGTAGTGCAAAAAGTCTATATACATGTCATGCGATTGGCTCTCGTGATCGTCATTTTTAGAGAGCACCGATCGATCGGTAGAGAGTGAGTATCGGCCGATATCGATCGGAGCATCCCTACATAGCATCTATCCGAGCTTTAAAAACATGCAGTGGAACCAAACTGCTCAGTTTCCATTATTTTTGCAGACTGTTCCAAGTTAGAGGAGCTGCGCACTTAAAAGCTTTCGTCCCTAAGACAGTCCTAGCACTTGGCACATTTAACAAAACAATAGCTACTTTCAGCTCTCCGTGTGGTCAGAGAGCAGATGTAAGAAGGGAGTTTACCTAACATGGCGTTGTAGATGAACACGTACCAGTGACTGAGCCTCCGTACAGGCAGACCTGCCCTGGCATACAGGGTGCAGTGATGAGTCAATACTTTACAGTTAGTAACAAATCTCAGTGCGCTGTGATAGGCGGCATCTAACTTGATCAGGCAATGGGCAGGTGCATTCATAAAGATCAGATCCCCATAGTCCAGCACAGGTCAAAAGGTCACAGACCTCTTCCTGGCCTCAAGCGAGAAACAGGACTTGTTCCTGAAAAAGAAACGTAGCTTCACCCTCAGCTTTCTAAGCAGATTATTGACCTGAGGTTTAAAAGAGAGACAATAGAGTGACGCATCCTAAAACCCGGTAAACTCCTTCCGGTTCCTTCGTCAAAAACGCAATGCAATCTCTCCATAGGATTTAGGAAAATAGCTGGAAATAAGGTCTGTGGTTGAAACACATTGAAGAGACGGGTCACGTTTTGTTCAGAGGATAATCTCCACATGTCTACCCTACTTTATAATTTTCTAATCATAAATCTAGTCGCAAGAAGCTAAATGCTAACGTTATGCTATAAAGGAACTACAGCAGGGTCGCTGCTTCAACGTCACGCCGACTTCAGATCCATATTCAAACACACAGATTCTAGATGGAACGAGTTGAAGCGTTTGTTTGAACACTCTGCAGGAGGCAGGGACTTGCTTTCAAGCAGAACAGAAACTAACTTAGAGGAGTGTTCACGTGTTCGGCGTAATGACGTACAACGGCCTCCACAACTTCTGTAGTCCTATTCAGCCACTTGGTAACAACCATCGTTTTTCAGACACGTCAACTCTTCAGAAATCACCAGCGGGGTCACTGCTGATGATTTAATGTGGTAGAACAAAACGTGACCCGTCTCTTCAATGTGTCTCAACCACAGACCTTAGTTCCAGATAGTTTCCAGAACCCTCTGGAGAGATTGCTTTTTGGCGAAGGAAGTGGTAACATGGTAACTTACTTCCGGGTTTTAGGACGCGTCACTGTGGCACTCTATCATCAAGCCAGATACCAAGGTATTTATAACAGGCAACCACTTCAAGTACTTGTCCTTGCATAGTAACAATATCCAAAGCGGTCTCCGGTGTCTTTTTGCCTTTTGAAAATAGCATTACCTTAGTATTTATCAACGTTTAAAATAAGCTTAAGCTCAAAGAGCGTCTGGATAATATTAAAAACAGCAACTGTTACTTTTTCAGTCTTTTACTTTGAGCAGTTAACTTGAAACACATTTCCATTTAGTTGCTGAATTGGTCTTTTAGGTGAAAAACCTTTGAAGACAAGAAAGATGCTTTAGACAACTTGCTATAGTTATTAAAAATAAATGAAGCAAACAGTACACTGGCACTGTTGCCTTATTTACGAATATTTGACAAAATAAACCGACAGACTAAGCACAGAAATATTTATTTTAAATATGAAATCAATCTCTAAAACAAAGCTCTTTTAACATCTCAGCAGATTGAATGAACTGGATTTTATTATATACTCGTTAAAGGTGGGGTGTGTAATTCACTTCAGAAACACTTGTTATATTCCATGGAATGCTCTAAACATCCCGACAGCAATGAATACATTAAATACTTTGACAATAAATACATACAAACATGTCATCAGTGGAAGCCGTGGCGCTGTGAAAAGCTCGACCAATCATCTGAGCCGGCTAAAGTAACTGGACGGCCTACCTGCCTGTCAGCCTTCCATCTGTGCACAAACTCATCTCGTGCCCTCATTGGTCATGTGCGCGTTAGAGGAGGGGCTCTGTGAGGAAGGGGCAGATTTCTTTCGGCTGCGTGTTTTCAAATTCTAGAGCACTCGAGCTGGTTTCTCCACTCTTACCTACCCCACCTTTAAGATAAACCATCTGATGTATGTACTGTGTTCTCGTCAGATGGCAGAGTTGGCGCGCTCGCAGATATCTGGAGTTTTGGCCCCTCGTGATGTTTCTGACTCCTCCATGTTGGACGAGCGGGAAGAACAGCAGAGCTCCTACTCAAAGCAGCGACACGACAGAAACGAGTCCGACAGGTAAAAACACCTGTTAAGATAAGAGTGGATTTTATTCATCCCGAAGGAAATGCTTGTGCCAGAGTTACAAAGATACAATAAACACAACAGCATAATAATTAAACTGTACACTAACAGTGCGGAAAAAATAACAATTAAATAACTACAAGAAACACATCATCATTAATGTAAAAAACTGACGAGCAGTGTTGAACAGTGCATACAAACGTAGTGGCATGTAATTGCACGTTATTGTAGAACATTATTAATAATATTCCACATTTATATAGCAGAGAGTTTTGTAGTGATGGTAATGTTTTTAATATTGTGAACGTTCTTGATCTTTTACACTCGGGGTCGCACATATGCTTAAAAAGTCTTTAAAGCATTTAATGATATAAGCTTAACATCAACATGCCAAGAAGGATTTTATTAAGGGTTATTTTCTTATGTTTTCTTACATTAAATCTATTTAATAAAATGCCCCTTGGAGGATCGGAGGGATTTCTGTTCCTCAAAATGGTCAAGCATGTGTGTGGGTATATAGATCCTGTATTTCCTTTTTGTAAGAGATATTAGGAATGAGTGATTTTTACTTTTCATTCTTAGTAAGATTTAAACACATTTAAATCTTGAGGCCTTTTGTCCCTGTAGTGTGTTATATAAGTTTATTTTGTGCATGTAAATGGTCTGGAAAAAAAAGCCAAAAGGTTGACATGAACATTAGCATAATGTCTTTAAGCTTAAAGAACCCTGCATACTGGGCTCATAATAAACACTGTATCATTCACATCTCTTTTGCATCCTCTCACAGCTTCAGTAGTGAGGTTTCCAACAGAAGGACCAGGCCGGAGGAGACGCTGTCCTCCCTGAACAGCCTCAGTCCCTCTGACTCTCTGTCCTTCAGAAGACCCAACATCAGGTACCAGTCTCACATCTCCTTTAGCTTTAGTTCCTCCAGAGAAATCTGAACAGGCACTAAAGTCTGCCTCTTTTCCATCAGTGGAGCGGACTCCAGCAGCCACCACAGCCCTTCACACGCCGCGTTTGAGACCAGAGACCGGACGAAGAAAGATGCCAGAGAAGGGAAGAGGAGGAAGGAGACGAGGAAGGAGGAAGGCAGCAGCTCCATCGAGGAAGAAGTTCAAAAAGCAGCCAATGATTCTCTCTGCAGCGACAGCATCCCCTCTGCAGTGGATAACAAAGGTTTATATATGTTTTTATTGAAAAAAAGAATCTCTTTATTTTTCATTCGACAAATATACAACACAGAGGTGGGAAGGAGTGGAGTACAAATACTTCGTTACTACTTTGTACTTTGACTTCTTACATGTTGAACTCAAATACCTGTACTTTCTACTTCTTACATGTTGAACACAGGCTGGTTCCTTTAGTTTGAATGTGTGTTTGGTGGGGTGATCATTATTCTTTAGAGTCATAGAGTGCCGCAGTGACGCGTCCTAAAACCCGGAAGTAAGTTAGCATGTCACCACTTCCGGTTCCTTCGACAAAAAGCAATCTCTCCATAGGGTTCTGGAAACTATCTGAACTAAGGTCTGTGGTTGAGACTCATTGAAGAGACGGATCACGTTTTGTTCTAGGACATTAAATCATCAGCAGTGACCCCACTGGTGATTTCTGAAGAGTTGACGTGTCTGAGAAACGATGGTTGTTACCAAGTGGCTGAATAGGACTACAGAAGTCGTGGAGGCCGTTGTGCGTCATTACGCCGAACACGTGAACACTCCTCTAAGTTAGTTTCTGTTCTGCTTGAAAGCAAGTCCCTGCCTCCTGCAGACTGTTCAAACAAACGCTTCAACTCGTTCCATTTATAATCTGTATGTTTGAATATGGATCTGAAGTCGGCGTGACGTTGAAGCAGCGACCCTGCTGTAGTTCCTTTATAGCATAACGTTAGCATTTAGCTTCTGGCGACTAGATTTATGATTAGAAAATTATAAAAGTAGGGTAGACATGTGGAGATTATCCGACTGAACAAAACGTGATCCGTCTCTTAAATGTGTTTCAACCACAGACCTGATTTCAAGCTATTTTCCTAAATCCTATGGAGAGATCCCATTGTGTTTTTGACGAAGGAACCGGAAAGAGTTTACTTCCGGGTTTTAGGACGCGTCACTGTGGCACTCTATAGCGTGCCTATTGATTTGAACACGATCCGTGTATCCATCATTTCCTGGTCTTCTCTAAAGAAGAGGGACCAATGGAAACGTTGTCATGTTGCCGTTGTTCAGCATGGAAACATTCATTAGCTAACAATGACATTATTGTTCTATTAATATAAAGGGAGGTCAGGTACTCTTTAAAGCAGCTGCTAGTTATGGGTACTTTTTACTGAAGTACATTTCAAAGCCTCTTTACTTTCACTTGAGTAAAGAAGTTTAGTCAGTACTTCTACTTTCACCAGAGTATTTTTAAACACGAGTATCTGTACTTCTACTTGAGTAAAGGATGTGTGTACTTCTACTTGAGTAAAGGATGTGTCTCTGCGAGTAGTATTGAGTAGTGCAAACTAACGTAGTGGCAGATACGAAGATGCCTTGTACCTAAAATAACTCTTGAGTTTATTATATTTCTGTCCTCCAGGAGACACTACGTCCGTGGCAACGGAATACTCTCTGAAGTTTGACGAGTCGATGACGGAGGACGAGATCGAGGAGCGCTCGTTTCGCTCTCTGCTGCCGTCTGAGGCGCACCGCAGGGGAACCATGGAGAAGAAGCCCCGCCCCCACGATGAGTCAGAGGATGACGGAGCCAATCACAACGCCACAGTGGTTTCAGGGGTTCAACACATGTTAAAGGTGAGAGGGCAGAGAGGTACAGGCATACTTTAAAATAAAGCAAAGTGTGTCTTGATATGTGTCCATGTTGATGTTACACATGGAGCTGCTGTGATGTCACATTTCAGACTTGATCTGACCATTAAATAAATAAAGTAAAATTAAATAAATACAAATAAATTAAATTAAATAAATAAATTAAATAAATAAATAAAATAAATAAATAAATTAAAAAAATTAAAATAGATCAATTAAAAAATTAAATAAATAAAATACAAATAAAGTATTATGGTATCGTATAACGATCTAACGTCTATCTTTCTCCCTCGTTCCCCTGCAGCCTCAGGACACCAGCATGTCGTTCGCGGGCGGGCAGGACAGCTTCTCTCAGTTCACGATGGACATGGTGCGTCAGTACATGAAGGACGAGGAGGTGCGTCTGCAGCACCAGAGCTCGCTGCTGCACCTCCGACAGAAGGCCGTCAAAGAGAAGACCAAAGCTGAGCTGGCCTGGCTGGAGCACCAGAAGAAGAGACTGAGGGACAAAGGAGAGGACGACAAGATGCCTCCAATCAGGAAGAAGCAGAGGGGCCTCCTGATGAAGCTGCAGCAGGAGCAGGTGAGGGGGCGGAGTTATCCTGACTCATGGGACCTGCTCTATAAAACACATTACATTTATTTTATTGTTTTAATTTATTTTATTTATTTTATTTATTTTATTTATTTTATTTATTTTATTTATTTTATTTATTTTATTTATTTTATTTATTTTATTTATTTTATTTATTTTATTTATTTTATTTATTTTATTTATTTTATTTATTTTATTTATTTTATTTATTTTATTTATTTTATTTTATAATAAAATACATATTTCGAGGACGCTTCCTTGGTAGGACATGTCTTCCGAGTCAGGTCCATCAGAGGATGTTTCCATGTCTTCCGAGTCAGGTCCATCAGAGGGTGTTTCCATGTCTTCCGTGTCAGGTCCATCAGAGGGTGTCTCTCAATGTCGAGGACGCTTCCTTGGTAGGACATGTCTTCCGAGTCAGGTCCATCAGAGGGTGTTTCCATGTCTTCCGAGTCAGGTCCATTCGAGGGTGTTTCTCAATGTCGAGGACGCTTCCTTGGTAGGACATGTCCTCCGAGTCAGGTCCTTCAGAGGCTAGGCAAGAATCCTTCCTTTAATTCGGAGAACGAAGAGTGGAACAGGCTAGCAGGTGTGCGTCATATGAGAGGCCCTGCCTTACATTTTCCGCTAAAGATTTTGGAAATTGGTCCGTGCGCAAAGCATTGTGGGGATTTTTAAGACCGGAAGGTACACATGTGCATCCGCGAAATGTCCCGCAACGAAGGATTCAGTCCTCGGTAAAATTCCAAGGATCCTGGACATTGGAACAGTCCTTCGACGGGACTCGATGATGATCCTTGAAATAGTGGCTCTGGAGCATCCTTCCTCGACATTGAGAAACACTCAGGGTCACAATTGAGACGATGGTCTTCATCCATTTTCCTATGAAACACATTTTTTGTTGTATCGTTTGTTCAAAGGACTTTTTTTGGTTAAAATCCACCAAAACCCAACAAGTTTTTGACATAAATGCTTGTTTATCTCAGAATTAGCCGTTACGACTGATTTTGACAGAGCGGGGTCTCATCCACATTAACCGTTACTTTACTCACCACCCATCTCTGTGTGTTTGTTCCCAGGCTGAGATCAAGAGGCTTCAGGAGGCCAACAAAGCGGCCAGGAAGGAGCGGCAGCTGTTGCTGAAGCAGCAGGAGGAGATCGAGCGGATGAGAAACTCCACCCTCCGCCTGAAGGAGCGTCTGAAGAGCGCCGGGGGGGAAACTCCACCTGTGAGTCACTAATCTCCTCCACAGGGATCACTTTAAAGGGCCACAGTTTGATTTATACGATAATACTTTATTGGTCCGTTCCAAGCCCCCAGGAGGTGCGCCGGACTCTGAGGGAAATATTCGTAGTGGCCAAACGGCGGTACTACACTTCCGTATCAGTCGCTGGGCCCAGAAACACTTTTTCCCATTGACTAACATTGGGAAAGAGACGTCTGTAACTCGTTGGATAATTGTTTTTAAACTAAATAAACTACCCAGTATGAACGTTTGTATAGCCCTCATTAAAAACATTCGGTCCTCAAGTTGTAAAATGTGCTAATAACGTTATTCTGAGTTATTTTCCTCTGCATTATGAACGCGCATCCAACCCACGGGACCGCGCCGCCCGGCACGTTCATGTGACGTGTTCAGCACTACATGAGTTTTACCTTTACCCATGGACGCACAATAACAACGGATTATAGGATTATATGAATACTTTCGTGACGTTTCGCTCTCTCAAAAGTTGGGCCATTTTGTCTTCATGAGCAGCTCTCATAGGAATGAACGAGGCCCCGCCTCCCACGCTGTATCCAGTTCTTATTATACATCCATGGTCCGATCGAGTCTGAAATGCTCCTGGCATCACAGCAGCTCCACGTGTAACATCAACAGACAAACATCGAGACACAATACATGACAAACAAACAACAAACATTGCAGCAGGATCAGTGAGAGGAAAGCTGCTCAAAGTTGCATTGCTCCTCTTATCTTTATTTTAATGCCTTATCTGCGTTTTCATTCCCTCCAGGAGATATGGGATATTCAATCAAATATAAATATAGAATGTACAGTGTGAGCATTATAAGTCCAGTAACAAGCCTTTTCCTCATGACTCTCGTGGCAGTATATAGTGACAGTTTGAGCAAATATAACAATAAGGTATTTTAAATAAAGTCAAATTAATTAAATTAAGGGGAAAAAAACACATTGTAGATGATGTTGCATTATTCTTCTTAACTTTCTTTTATTGGCTTCTCTCTAATTCTGCCTTTTCTTTTTATTCTTTATTTATTTGCGGTCACATTTTTATTAAAAGTACAGTTTTGCAAATCATATATTTCTAGAGACCCGAACAAAATTGGTAAAATAAAAACGAAAAAGTACATAGGGGTCGTTTGAAATTACAAATATCTACACATGTATCAACTTAAACACACACACATATATATACAAGCACATACACATACATATATATACAAGCACATACACATACATATATATACAAGCACATACACATACATATATATACAAGCACATACACATACATATATATACATGTACGTACCAGAGTTTCCGCCAAAATGTCCGTTAAAGTTGAAATCTTCCGGACAAAATGAGAAAAGTGCCGGTCAAAGGTCTTCTTTGTTATTTATCGAGCTTTAAAACAAATTTATATGATTCGATATTAAACTAATTATAGTAGATTTAGATTAACTACATTATTCAAAAGTGAACAGTAATTTACAATAACACGGGAATAATAAACGGAGCTCTCTCTCTCTCCTGACAGCCCGTCAGTATCATGCAGCTCGCGATATTCTAACCTGAAGTGTGTGTTGCTCCGCTCACCGCTGCATGTGATCATGCAGAGCTGCGTGTCGACTCGTCAGCAGCAGCTGATCTCTCTTTCCCGTCTTATATCCATATCGATCAGATCCAGCTAGTTCTAGTTAATGATATGACTACCTGCTTATTAAAAGACACCTAAACAACAAGCGTCACTATGCAACCGGGTGAGGCCGGAGCCCCGAGGCATTACCAACAGATCAACGCACAATCAACCCATACAGGACATCTCTTTCTCCACATTAAGTGTTAGACATTAGAATTGACTCTTCTTGTCTGTCACATAAGTGGCGCAACTGATTGTGTTAAGGGGAAATTATTTTTAACGGAGAGATTTAGATTTGCTGGTCTTCAGCATATTTTACCGGTCAAAGTCCGGAAACTAACGGAAACTCTGGTACGTACTCATATACACATACACCAATATATGTATACATGCATAATTCTGTGTTTTCCTTCCCTCCAGGAGACCCCCGTGTCAGAGACCCCCCTCTCAGAGTCAGCCTCCCCCAACATGAGACGCAGCCCCTCCCCCCCGCTCTCCATCTCTGGAAGTGAGACCAGCAGCATCATGCAGAAGCTCAAGAAGATGCGCTCCCACACGGACGAGAAGTAAACTCTCTTATTTTTAAACAGTTATTTGGTTTTTTCTCTGTTCTGGTTTGAGAGGTGAATTATCTCAAGTCATGCTTCATCATAAGTGTTTTTAACTCCAGCCCTGTGGTGCTGTCTTTACGCTTAATGTCAGCTCCTTCTGTGCTTATAAGAATATTTTCCAACTCTTTCAGTTTTGATTTTGTCTTGGTCCTGATTCAATTAACTTTAAACACATATTATATGTTCACACAGAATTTCAGAATCAGAAATCCTTTCCATGTCCCGCATCTGGGAAATGATTCAGAGTTTTACAGAAGAAGTGACACCGCAGATAAAAGGCAAAACAAGGACAGCTAGCATCCTCTATCAATACACATAAAGATAAAGACACACAGGCACTCATGCATGGTGAGAAATAAAGAGCAGAGTTTAATGAACATATGAAGGTGTGATTATTGCTGAGTGAAGGAGCAGCAGAATAACCAAAGTAGCATGCTCTTTAAGGACTCAGTTCTTCCATAACACTTCTGCACAGTTAACACTCACTGTAGCCCGCAGTAAGTAGGGAATATTGCCTCGTTAAAAAGTGCAATTTCTATGTATTCAGTCCAACGGGTCCGAAACGCTAAAATCCCAAACATAGAGTCTTTACTTTAACAGGCAACTAAACTAATGAAGACTAATCAGTGCATGCCATCTTTCTTCTGCTGGATTGTGTGGATGGGAAGAGAAGCATGCTCCATGTTGTTCTCCCTTTGATCCAAAGCCCGTCCCATTAACTTGAGTTTTTAACCTGTAACCCTTTGTAGGAATATTTGTTGAAACATAAAGTAAAGCAACAACATCAGAAACTATTAAATCCAACCTTTTAAAAGACTATATAGATCTGGAACAAAATGAAAGTAAAAATATTGAAAGACGCAATCGTTGGAACTGAAACTTGACATGTCAAAGGCACCGTTATTTTCCAGATAAGAAAAACATTGGCTGTGCATTCAATCATTTTCATTGCACTCATTTCCCCTCGACGAGTAGCTTCATGTGCAGGTGGTTCCTGTGCAAACTGTTACCCTCTCACAGCTCAGGTGCTGCAGAGCCTCTCGTGCCAGCGCAGCTCCAACAAGTGGGTCAATTGTTCTGGGCTTTAGGATTTATTTATTTAGGATTTATAACTTGGCAACAGATCACAGACCCTCGATGGTAGCACTTCGAACAAATCTAGACCTAAGGAATGTCGAAGTTAAACAGAAACTCAAAAACAGATATTTGTGTCAGAGCATGCTCTTGTGCTTGCTTGCTTTTTTATCAAACTAAAATGCTTCTGGGCTATCCTCTTTCAGTCTTTATTACCACTGTCCTGCTGTTAATCGAAGCAAACATGTACGATATATATTTGTCTTGACGTAACACTAACAAATTGTAATCCCTGCATTGTATTTTGTTCAAAAAACGACTGAAAACTTTTAACCCCCTCAATAAACAGGTTTGGCAGTGATCAGTGGGATAACCAACCCCCTATGCTTGATGCCCTCATGCTAGCTCAAATATTCATGATCTCCTAATAGAGTGGTGCAGGAATGAGTCCTAAAACCCGGACATTAATCAGCGTTTTACCACTTCCTGTCCCCTGGTCTGGAGGTCAATGGTTTTCTGAATGGTTGTTATCCTGAAATAAGGTCTGTGGTTAACTCAAGCTGAAGAGATTTACACTTTTTGTGCTAAGACATAAAATACGTCAGTAAATACCCCACTGGTGGATTTAAAAACGAAGGTTGCTAACAAGTGTCTAAAGGAGACGACTAAACATCTTCACGCCCAACATTAGCCACCTTTAGCTTAGCGGTGGTGACGTGAAGTCATGTGACCGTGCTGTGGATCCTTTATAGCCCAACATTAGCCACCTTTAGCTTAGCGGTGGTGACGTGAAGTCATGTGACCGTGCTGTAGTTCCTTTATAGCCCAACATTAGCCACCTTTAGTTTAGCGGTGGTGATGTGAAGTCATTTGACCGTACTGTAGTTCCTTTATAGCCCAACATTAGCCACCTTTAGCTTAGCGGTGGTGACGTGAAGTCATGTGACCGTGCTGTGGTTCCTTTATAGCCCAACATTAGCCACCTTTAGCTTAGCGGTGGTGACATGAAGTCATGTGACCGTGCTGTAGTTCCTTTATAGCCCAACATTAGCCACCTTTAGCTTAGCGGTGGTGATGTGAAGTCATGTGACCGTGCTGAAGTTCCTTTATAGCCCAACATTAGCCACCTTTAGCTTAGCGGTGGTGATGTGAAGTCATGTGACCGTGCTGAAGTTCCTTTATAGCCCAACATTAGCCACCTTTAGCTTAGCGGTGGTGACGTGAAGTCATGTGACCGTGCTGTAGTTCCTTTATAGCCCAACATTAGCCACCTTTAGCTTAGCGGTGGTGACGTGAAGTCATGTGACCGTGCTGTAGTTCCTTTATAGCCCAACATTAGCCACCTTTAGCTTAGCGGTGGTGACGTGAAGTCATGTGACCGTGCTGTAGTTCCTTTATAGCCCAACATTAGCCACCTTTAGCTTAGCGGTGGTGACGTGAAGTCATGTGACCGTGCTGTAGTTCCTTTATAGCCCAACATTAGCCACCTTTAGCTTAGCGGTGGTGACGTGAAGTCATGTGACCGTGCTGTAGTTCCTTTATAGCCCAACATTAGCCTCCTTTAGCTTAGCGGTGGTGACGTGAAGTCATGTGACCGTGCTGTAGTTCCTTTATAGCCCAACATTAGCCTCCTTTAGCTTAGCGGTGGTGACGTGAAGTCATGTGACCGTGCTGTAGTTCCTTTATAGCCCAACATTAGCCTCCTTTAGCTTAGCGGTGGAGACGTGAAGTCATGTGACCGTGCTGTAGTTCCTTTTATATCCTAACTTTTTACTTCAGAAATCATAAGGTGGTGTTAATATTTGGAGATTATCCTGCTGTATGTTTCATAAACGTTTGTTCGGCACAGAGATTAGTTTCTGCAATTATGGGGGAACATTTTTTGTCGAGAGTCCTTACTATGCTAACTTCCGGGTTGTCCTACGATAACATGTCCTCCCTGCACCACTCTATACATATCCATATTAAAAGCAGAACACATTGGGCGTATCAGCTCACCTTTGCTCATATCACTCTTCTCTCTCCCTCCTCCCTACGTGTCTGTTCCCTCTTTGTGTTCTTAATGTTTCTCCCTCCTCTCACATTGTGTGTGTTGTGTGTCTCCATGCCCATGTGTGTGTGTCTCCTGTGACTGTGTGTGTTGTAGACTCTGCTCTCCTGTCCACTGCTTCTTCTCTGTGTTCACGGCTCACCACTGGGCCTCCCTCAGTGTCTGTCTTCCCAACCTCCACCCTAAATTCCAGATTTTTATCTACAACCATTTGGTCAGGTACTGTACAGAGCTCTCTACCTCTATCCCAGCACCTCCACCTAATAACCCCCTCCCCCCACCCCATGGAACATGCTTGTGTTCACCCACTGGCACTGGGACCTTTAGGGGTGGGATGGTGATTGTTGACTGATTGGGTTTGTTTCCAGGAAGTTGGGGGAGGAGTTTGAGTGAAAGCTTAAAGGGCCAAAGGAAGGCTGCCTTTTGTCAAATAAACGTACCTTTTAACAACAATAATTATCATCAGATACAACAGACGTTTAATAAGCAATATACATTTAATTTCAGATAGAAAATGGAGAAGAAGGCAACATGCTTAACTGGCCTTACCCCAACATTTAAAACATATTTTTTAGGCTATATGTATTGCCTGTACTGTCTGCAAAGCATTCTGGTTTTGGGTGACTTTGAACAAAATAAAACAGCCTGTTAAATCAAATATTCAAGGTAGGGTTGCCCAATTAATTAAAATGATATCTAAATCGCAATATGGACTAGTGCAATATCCAATTCAGTTTGTTGGAGCTGTGTAGGAACAGTATTCTACAGACTGAATTAAAAGCCCTTGTTTGGCACAGATTGTCTTTGAAGAGGCCCTATTCTCCTCTTTGGGGTGTTTCCCTCTCCTGTAGTGTTTTCCATTGGTTTTTGTGAATGTAAACGGTCTCTAAAGGCTAAAATCCCAAAGCAAAAAAAGTCCACAAACATAGTGACATCACTATGGAACACTCGTGCTATTGTTGGGCTAGCGCTCCAACAGATTGTAAGTGATAGGCTGAGGGGCGGGACATCTCTAAGCAGGTTGACCAATCACAACAGAGCCGGCCAGCTAACCAATCAGAGCAGACTGGGCTCTGGTTTCAGACAGAGGGTGAAAAGACGTAAAAGGGCCCCTTTAAAATAATCGCACAATTACCATTTTAATGTATTTTTCAATCCTTAATTTGAATAATGTTTAAAAATGAATAAGTTATTTGTTCTCAACGCTGCAGCCCTACCTGATGCATTAAACACTCTGGGTGACATTTGATCTCCTGAAGGTTAAAGGTTACGTCTATTTCGATAGGAGCCTTCCTTGTTGGATGGGAATCTCAGACTCAGCGCTGGGATGTCTCTGGTTTTTGTGGTGTTCCATCTGTGACTCTTCTCCCCTCCTTTCTTCTTCTAATGAATGCTGCGGTGCATCTCTCTTTACGTCCTTCATATTGCGGCTGCTCATTGATACAGAATGTTTTCAGATTGAACCACACGGAGCAGACAGAGTGCTCCATCTCTTCAATGAGCCCAGTCCATCTTAACTAACTCTTTATTAGGTAACTGTTGCACAGAATTGGATAACAAGTACAGATGGCCAGTGGCTGTAATGGAGTTTGGGAAGGCACTAAAAGACCCTCTGTCCGTCTCCTCTGTATCTGTCCTGTCATCAGTAAACATTAGGGTCAAGAGAAAGGCCTTTAAATCAAATCAGGGCTAAATAATACTGCAGTGTAACGGCACCCAGAGCTGTGGGGGAGCACATTACACCTCACCAGAGATATATGTATTTATAAGAGACTCGGGGTAAGTTGGATTTTAGGATTACAGATGATGTTTGCATTGCAAGACAAAAGAGTGGCTGTGTTTAAGGCTTCCTGCCCTCATTGGTCAGGGGTTTACAGTAAATGGAAGTCAATACTAATGACTAATGCACTCATATTGTTATTATTTAAGTCTAGATACCGATACCTGCTACGCTGTTCCAGGCAGACACTCTGCACAGCCTGGGTGTCCAAAAGAAAGAGAAATATATTGTAAATAGTACAAAAAAAAGACACCTTTTTAAAGCAATATTAATAACAGTAATTACTTTTAATTAAACAAATAAATAATAATACATTTCATTTATAAAGCGCCTTTCAAAATATTGAAATACAATTTCGCTTGAGAAGTTCTAATTACCAAAATAAAAAGAACACATCTGTATTATTGCTTATCCCTCAGTCAAACCTAATTGTTGTATATTATAGTTATATACCTTCTTTCCCCTGTTATTATTTACATTTTGTAATCAAATGTATCACGAGTAATGTTATATATTTATGCTGCAAAAGCACAGTAAACCATCGGATGACATTTTTCCACAAATTTATCAAAAACTCCAAAAAACAATTGAACTGCATTAAATTAATGTCAACATGTAATCATCATTAATTTATCACAACAGGCTGTAGAGCTTGTTGGTGTATGCATCTTGTAATAAACAGATGACATGTTTGTTATTAGCTTCCAGCTGCTGACGTAGTAAGAACAGACTAAAACATCACTATAGATATGAACTGAATAGATCTGCTCCATTGTGTTTATCAAAGAGACATTCATACAGATGTAACTGCCTTTTTAAACCTTTCCTATCTTGTGAAACTCATATGTTTGAGGTGTGTGTTCCTGGGTTTCAGTCTGACGCATGAACCTGACGTGTGTGTGTGTGTGTGTGTGTGTGTGTGTGTGTGTGTGTGTGTGTGTGTGGTGTGTGTGTGTGTGTGTGTGTGTGTGTGTGTGTGTGTGTGTGTGTGTGTGTGTGTGTGTGTGTGTGTGTGTGTGTGTGTGTGTGTGTGTGTGTGTGTGTGTGTCTCCAGGTGTTTCGGGTCTGCTTGCTTCAGCGATGTCACATTTAAACATCCCTTATGCTAAATCTCCTACTTCTCCTCTCTCTCTTCACTGCCTCCTTCACCAATCACCCCTCGTCTTTTTCACTTCCTCACCTCCTCATTACCTTCCCTCCTTCATTCTGACCTCCACCTTTTTAGGTTCCTGACGAAGCGAGAGCAGGTGCTGATGCAGAGGCGGCACCATGCGGAGGAGCTGCTGCAGTGGAAACAGCGCCTGGATCGAGAGGAGGCCGAGGTCAGGAGGATGGAGAAGGAGGCGCTGGCTTTGTGGGACAGAACAACATCTCGAGACGGGGCGGAGAGTCGGGAGAACGAGGTTTATGACATCAGCCCGAGTCTCCGTCAGAGCTCAGAGCCCAGGACTGACAGCGAGAAAGGTGAACACAGCAGGGTGTCTTTAGAAATGGATTCATTACAACCTTAAAAAAGTACTGTATCGAGAATAGTACTAGTATTTAGGTTCGATGAGGAATATGTTCAGAGTGACAGTCATTGCAGAAAAAGCCCTTTTTTAAATATCATGAAATATATATCTAAAAAAGTACAACATTTGCTTCCAAAATATGTTGGAGTAGAAGCATAAAATGAAAGAACTCAGGTAAAGTACCTCAAATGTGAACTTAAAGTGGACCTATCATGCTATATTTGAAACATATATTGTAGGGCCATACCTATATAAAACATGCCTGTGAAGTTTTTTTTTCAAAATACCAAACAGATCCTGCATTTTAGCCGTGCCTCATTTCGCTCTATTTGCTCTTTTCCAGCCCTGTTTTTGCAAAGGCTGATTCTGTGGCTACAGCGCCACTTACAGGCCTGGCATATGTACTACAGCGTCTCCAGCGCTTTCGAGCGGTCTCTCATTCCCCTGATAGGTGGAGAGTTGCCCATATAGGCGGAGCTCCCCGTTTCTGACGTCAGAACAATTTCAAATCTGTATCAGATCCGTTGCAGCCCCGTTTTTAGAGATTTGGGTACGGAGGAAAAGAGAGGGTTGTGGGGACACATATTCATGTATACAAGACGTACACAAGTGCATTTTGCATGATAGGTCCCCTTTAAGTAAATTCACTTTCCACCTCTGACAACAGAACATTGTGACCTTAGAAAATAAGAAACCAAGATATTTAGGATCAGAAATGATTTTATTTATAGGAAAACCTGCCTTTCATGACACTCAAGGTATTAGAGAACAGAACAGTACGGCTTATAGAGAAGAGAACATTTTTCAAAGCAGTTAGAAATATGTAAAAAGTCAGGAATTTAAAAAGTGATAATTTTGAAAAATAAATCCGAATTTTTTGAAAAACTCAGAACTTTTTTTCAAACATTTTATTTTTGTAAAAAAGTGAGAATTGTGAAAATAGTCAGAATTTGAACAAATTTGAGAATCTTGAAGAAAAAAAACTGGATTTGTGGAATTTTTAAAAGAAGATGTTAAGGGCCACGTGTAAAGTTTAGATTCACTCTTAAAGTATTAGCTTAGAGCAGGGGTTCCCAAACCTTTCAGCCCACGACCCCCAAAATAACAGTGCCAGAGACTGGCGACCCCTGTCAACGTGGGGGGGGGGGGATTTGTCAACAGGGTGGGGGGCCTCGCTGCGGGGAAATTCTACAGATGGCCAGTCCGCCCCTGACAAATGTCTATGCACACGTTATTATAAATGATAAAAAAATAATTAATAAATTGTTTTTAATTATCAATTTTGATTTTGTAATCATCTCGCGACCCCCACTTTGGGAACCCCTGGCTTAGAGAACAGAACAGCTTACAGAGAAGAGATAACATCTGATCGACTCAGATTTTATAAAATGAGAGAATTATGAAAATAATCAGAAATAAAAAATAATTACCGAAATTTGAGAAAGAAAAAAGTCAGAATTTTGAGAAATTTTGATAATTTTGAGGAAAATAACTGGATTTGGGGAATTTTTAAAATAAGATGATTAGGGCCACGTGTAAACAAAATAAAATAGATTCCATAAAGCAGATTCAGGCAGTAGGCGTATCGATTCACACTCAAAGTATTATCCTACAGAACTTACAGAGAGAACAGCTGATACCAAACATTCAAAAAAGTTAGAAATATGTAAAAAGTCGGACATTTTAAAAGTGAACACTTTTTCTAAAAATGTTGATTTTTCTAAAAAAGTGATAATTATGAAAATAGTCAGGAATTTTTCCAAAAGTGACATTTTTATCAAAAAACTGAAATATTTTCTAAAAAGTTAGAAATATGTAAAAAGTCAATAATTTTAAAAAAAGTGACCATTTTGAAAAATAAATCCGATTTTTTTTGAAAAAGTCAGAACTTTTTATCAATCATTTTATTTTTGTAAAAAAGTGAGAATTATGAAATAGTCAGGAATTTGTAAAAAATATAGAAATTTTAAGTAAAAAAAGTCTGAATTTAGAAAAAATGGGGAATTTTAAATGATTGTGAAAAAAGCAGATTCAGGCAGTAGGCGTATAGAGAGAACAGAACAGCTTACAGAGAAGAGAGAGCTTAATATTTTCTTGTTTCTTGTGTTTTCAGAGTATGTGAGTGAGGACTGTTCCTCAGTGACTCCTGACTCCAGCGTCCACACGGAGGGACCACAGACAGGAAGTCCAGCTTCAGATCCACCTGCTTCAAACCCTGAAACTCCTTCAGGAACCTCCGTGCAGAACAGCCCTGCAAACTACAGCCAGGACTTCACCTCTCCCAGCAGACAGGTACGCAGACTGTGAATATAATGCAGTGTTTACATCCATTTCTTTGGGTACAGCCTCGCTAAAAGAGAGATACTAGTTATATTACCAGAGTATTCAGTATTATGGCGTATTGTTTAAATGTGTTGGAATAAGTAGGAGCAGGTAGCAGGAGTTTAGTGGTCTTATGGCCTGAGTCTGTGATGCCGCCATGTCGCAAAGAAACCTACTTTGGTCGATATTGGAAAGTATTTACCATGATTTTTACAAAACACTGTAAAAAACAAATAGCTTAAATACTAATTAGGATATCAATCGTCTTTGAAATGACTAATTGCCAGGATTGAAACTCTGACGTGGACGAACTTCAGTCAAATTCATTCAATAAAACTCATATATGATGCTGTGTGGGTTATTAATAGTCCATCATGTTATACCGGGGACGATGCATTTGCTAGTTTATGTTGCACATCAAATATTAATTAAGGGATGGTTGTAATAGTCCATGTGACTGTGTTGTTATATCCTAATGTCTCTTCTCTTCCTCTCTCCTCCTCTTCCTCCTCCTCTCTCCAGTCTCTGAGAGGAAGCCTCGCCCCCGCAGCCTCTCCTTCACACGGCAGCAAGATGCAGCTCCGAGCCTCCAACCGGACTGGTGAGTTACACACACACACATGCACAGGCACACACACACACACACACACACACACACACACACACACACACACACACACACACACACACACACACACACACACGCACACGCACAGAGACACAGACTGAAAGTGTTATATCTGAGGGGTGTACTATACCTCCAGGTATTTCTCAGAGAAGCAGTTAAAGCATAGACTGTGCACGCACACACACACACACACACACACACACACACACACACACACACACACACACACACACACACAGAGACAGGAAGTGTTGTATCTGAGGGGTGTACTATACCTCCAGGTATTTCTCAGAGAAGCAGTTAAAGCATAGACTGTACACACACACACACACACACACACACACACACACACACACACACACACACACACACACACACACACACACACACACAGAGACAGGAAGTGTTGTATCTGAGCGGTGTATTATACCTCTCAGAGATGGTAAAAGATGTGATGCAGCTGTATTGCTGGCGCTGTGTAGTCCAGCATAATGTAATGCTGCCAGGAATACATTATGGAAGCACTTGGCTGATTCCTAACCTGCTTAGCTGTGTGATGTTGGAGGAGAGAACACTTTACAAAAGAGTCAGTTACTGCATGAGGAAATACAGTTCTGCAGAGTACTGTAGAAAAAGGAGACCCGCTCTATTGGAATCAGTCAGATATCGTAACAGCGCATTCAGAAACAATCGTGAATTTAGTTTTGGTCATTTTGGTAATAAACAAAATCTCGGCCTTCAGAATATCAAACTTTACATAAATACATTTTCACCATTCACCGGGTGATGTCACTTTTCGCCGAACTGCATTGTGGGAAACAGCTGCTTGTGTGTCAGGGGCGGGAGATTCATGTGATTGGTTGTGTGGACGGGCTGTAAGAGTTAGACCTAACACACTTAGCTATTTGATCTACCTCTGGAGAGAGAGAGATATAGATATAGATATAGATATAGATATAGATAGATTGGAAGCGCTAGTGAATGAGCCCATTAAACTGAGTTTTAAACATCACTTGAAATGGAAGATCCCCATAGGCCCCGCCCACTCGATTGGATCGGATACTGATTCCGGCGATCGGCCCCAAAATTGGCGATCCCTAGTCAGAATTAGGGATGGGAACGAATATTCAAAATTATTCAGGTATTCGAATAATTATTAATTTTTTTATTTATTATTTTTTGTTGGGAGAGATGCCTAAGTTGATTACATATTATCAAATTGAATAATTCAATGTACACGACATTGCCATAGCTAAGTGTGTTAGGTCTAAAGGTGTGTTTTGCTCCGCTCACCGGTCCCTCACAGCGGGCAGAGCTGCAGGTGCTGATCTCTCTCTCTCGCGTCCGGTTAGACTTCACTCGCGTTTATGTCCAAATCCATCAGATTTAGCTAGTTCTAGCTAATGATATGGCTGCTGCCTCTCCCTACACACAGATCACGCAGACTCAAACCTCATCTTATGCCCAAATGCGCTCCGCAGCCGTTGCGAGGTTCCGGCGCTAACAGTTCATGAGCGTGCTCCCCCGCCCCCTGACAACACAAGCGCTGCTTGGCACCGTGTGTGACGGCAAAGTACATAGACATTTTGACAGGAGAGATTTAGTTTTGCCGGTATTCAACATATTTTACCAGTCATAGTCCGGTAATTATTTACACTCTAAGAAGAGTCCTACACAACAGACATGGCGTCAAAAAGGAGTAATGTGTGGAAATATTTGGACCAGGTTAGTGAGTGCGGTGTAGAGGTCAAACTATGCCAAATTAAACTTATACATGCTATACCTTGCTATACCCGCAACCTCCGTTCCAGCTGAGAGGGTCTTCTCTACAGCTGGCCTGATTGTGAATCGCCTCCGCACATGAAAGCCTATAGCTGTCAAACTGTGATCACCAGTTCAATACATTTGACTAATTTGACTTGGTTTCTATACTTATTTGAACATGTATTTATTTTTTTCCAAAAGTTATTGAAAAAAAATGTTGGAAAAAAATTTGGGGAATTTTTTTTTTTTACCCAACTTTTTTTTTTTTAATAATAATGCATTACATTTTTTATTAGAGCGCTTTTACAGGTGCTCAAAGCGCTTTACACACATTACACATATTAGACATGTAAGAGTCATTACGGCGGACATTACCCACAGGAGCAAATGCGGGTAAAGTGTCAAGGACACAACGGCCTGACGCAGTGGCGGCCGAGGCGGGATTCGAACTGGAGTTCACCAACGCCCCTTGATCTGATGACCAACGCTCTAACCACTGCGCCAAAACCGCCCCTTTTTATAGGATATGTACATTTCGGTTAACCGGTTAACCGTTTTTTGGGGGGTCGAATATTCGAATATACATTTGCTTTCAAATTCCCATCCCTAGTCAGAATGTCTCTGGGTGTTGAAGTGACTGAGCAGGTCACAAAAGTATTGTTTTCAAATCTTTGTGATACCTACTTCATCGTGTACGAGCCAAAGCATCGTGCAACTAATCAAACGTCCTGTAAGCTCTTAAGAACTGGGTTTGAGTTCGAGTCGGCACAGAGTTGGATTACTTTTCCTAATCACAGATCTGCCTCTGCTCTCACATTCTCACTGTGATTTCTTTCTCTCTCTTTTTGATCAAGACCTTCCTCCAGAGCACATTTCAGACCAGAGTGACATAGAGAGCCGAATCCGGGGTCTGAAGGAGGAAGTGAGGAAGAGGAAGTTTATGGCCTACCAGCTGAAGAAGGAGCAGAAGAAGAGACACAAAGAGCACCTGAAGGCGCAGGAGGCCAGCCTGCTGAAGCAGCTGGAGGTTTGTGTGTGTGGGGGGGTGTGTGGGGGGGGTGTGTGTGTATTATAAGCAGATTTTTGAATTGCATTTTATTCTCATTTTAATATTGTTTTATTCCTTTTTTTAATTATTATTATTTTAGATTTTATTTCTTTATTTTTCATTCTAATTGATCTCTTTATTTTCTTCCTTTTTTCGGATTATTCACATATATATATTTTTTTATTATAATAATGTAATTATTTTTTTTATTTTTTTTAATTATTATTATTAATTTATGGATTTTTAAAAATTATTATTTATGGATTTATTTTTGTATTATTAATATTTTAGTATAATTTTAATTCTTGTTTTATTTCTTTTTTTATTATTAATTTATATCTTTTTTTATTCTAATTTAATTAGTTTTATTCATTTTTTTAAATTATTAATGTACATATTTTTAATTATTTGTATTATTATAATTGTATAATAGTTTTTTTCATTTTTATTATTATTTTGTATTTATAAAAAATGTTATGATTCTGCATTTCCACGAAGTGTTCTTTCCCGTCACAAAGCTATGTGTTACCTGTGAAGAGGGAAATACCTGTTGTGTATGAAAAGTGTTTTATAAATAAAGATTTGATTAACTTTGATTCTCCCGTTTTCCTTTCAGAGCTACAACAACTTCATAGAGAAAACTAAAGCAGAGCTGAACAAGAAGCCGGACTCAACGCCTGATAACTCCCAGATCAGAGATTCAGTCGCAGAGCAGACGAGCATCACAACACCTGCTGACAGGTAACAGAAGCACCTGGAAACACAACAACATGTCTATTACTGTAATATCACGTGGGTGTTCAATTAAACGCTTCTCTCTCAGGTGTGAAACCGGCACCATCTCTGGAAGGACGCACATTGAGGCTTCATTGGATCACAGTGAGTTATATAATCATCATAACTAATATATGAGACCCGCGCTGTTGAAAGCAGTCGTATTTCCTAACGGCTTATTCCGAGATTATCGTGGATTTACGTCAAAAACTGTTTTGGTAATTTGGGGGTTTTGGTTGATTTTAAACAAACAAAGTCTTAGCTTTCAGAATGTCAAAATGTTATCGCCAAATTCAGACGATAAATACATTCTGGAAGCTTATAACGACAGGGTTCAGCGTCTCCTTGCAATCCCGACGTCTCCTTCAAATAAGGAATGATATTAAAAACGGAAGGGATTTGATTTCAGATTAAAAAATATAATCGCCGTACGATGACGAGTGAGGAACGGAGCTATTTAACGGCAGAGGCATTTCTGTAATAGAAATGTACCACGGGTGTGTTTGTTTTCTCGTGTGTGTTTTCTCAGGAAATACACACACACACACACTTTCTTACGCCTGACTTTTCCTCATTCAAGTAAAAAACATCCTCTTCCTCGAAGCTGCTAGCTTGAAAATGTGTTGGATCAGATCTACGTTTATTGATCCCAGTTCGTCACAGCAGCATAAAGTTAACCTAACCATTGCAATAGATGGATTTCTGTGAACAAGAAGCTGCTGCTTGTTGATCATAATGAGGAGCAGTTTGCTAACAAGCTTTTCTTAAAAGACAAAACGATTTCAGAATCAAAACGAATCCAATGGCGGTCCTACGGGTGGACAAGGGGTATTATCTCTGGAACCCCCTCCTAAAATAATGCTCTGACGGTACGTCCACACAGCAGCTTTAAACAAATCTTCCACCGCTTCTCTGCACATTGACTTTGAATGGGGATGACGTCACTTTGCCTCGCTTTTCGCCGAACTGCATTGTGGGGGAGCGAAGCGAAGATTTCCAGGATTTCCAGGATTCAAAAGTTGAGCAATGTTCAACTTTTGAAGCTGAGCTGGAAGCGTCAGCCAATCAAATCCCGTTTATGCAAATCTGACAGTAGAAGCGCTAGCCAATCAAACCGCGTGTAAGCAGGGAGAGCCAGACCGCAGTTCATTTCCTCATATTCCAAACGAGAAGTTACGGTAGCAAATCACCCGGTTCTTTACGACCAGAACTATTAACGGGATACAAACCGGAGGAACCAGGCATGGAGGGAGGTGGCAGAGACAGTGGGTGAAACTGGTAGGTTTTCACCTGTTTGGGGAGTTTATATATATATATATTGCTCGCATAAAATCCCCGGGGTTTTTTGCTTTGTATGTCGGGGGCGGGAGATTCATGTGATTGGTTGTTGGTCGTGTTGCTCGCAAAAAATCCCCAAGCTTTCAGACACGCCCAGCTCCAAGATTTTCAAGATTTTTTTAAAACTGCTGTGTGGACGTACCGTAACCCTTTTACAAAGACATTCCAATATTAATAATACTGTGATTTCTTCCCGTTGCGACAGATGCCGTCCCTCAGCCTGACCTCAGCAGACCCTCCTCAGTTCCTGAAGAGTTGTCTGATGAAGATCCCCCGACTGTGACTCCCACCCCGGTGCACGGCAGCCCTCAGAGATCCTATCATGAGCCGGAGGTGAAAGTGAGCTCAACGTTTGAGGATCAACCGTCTGAGCGTCTCCTCGTCTCCAAAGCATCTGTGACCCTAGAGGAAGACAAAGAGTTAAAGACGAGGGAAGCATCTGAAGCTGAGAAATCTAACATCATCACCTCTAATAATAATTCAGCTGCAGAGGAACTCAATCTAAACGATAGATCTGCATCCAGTGACTCCTTCTCCATTAAAGACGTGGAAGGCTCGTCTCCCAGAGCAGACGCTTATCACGATGACTTTGAGTCTTCAGTGGATTCTTCTCCTAGGGATCACGACTCCAAACCTGCTTCTCAGATCTCCAGAAAGGACGAGGAGGAAGTGGAGGAGGAAGTATCTGAAGATCTGAGTCACCGTTCGGGGACGAGTGGAGCGAGCCGTCATTCTGCGAGACTGCTGGATTTTCAGAACAACGCAGAAGAATCCAAACTTCTCCACTCGCCTCCCTCTCCCGTTAGAGATGAAATGCTTAGCTTTAATATCGGGGATCGAGTTCTTGTCGGCGGTGTTCAGCCGGGAACGCTGAGGTTCAAAGGGCCGACCAGCTTTGCTAACGGTTATTGGGCCGGCGTGGAGTTAGATAAATCCGAAGGGAGCAACAACGGCACCTACGACGACGTGGTTTACTTCGAATGCGACAAAAGCCACGGCATCTTCGCTCCTCCGGACAAAATCTCACACCTGCCGGACAAGTTTGAGATCTACGCCGACACCACGGAGGACGAGGACTCCTTCTGTGACCCTCTGTCGGAGAAAGGGGATAAAGAAACAAAAAAGGGGGGGCGGGACTCCGAAAAGAGGAATGAAAATGAACCAACATCTAATGATTTCAATAACTCCGGAGATAAAAGAGTTACGGACATATCGAACAATAATGTCAAAGAATCCAAGCATCCTATTTCTAATGGCACGGACATTATGCTGCATTTTGAAGATGCACCCACCACCCTCCTCATCTCTGATATCGACCTGGGGAAGCAGAACCAGAAGGAGATCGCCCCCCGTGTGGAGAGAGAGGAGATCTCCCCCCGTGTGGAGAGAAAGGAGATCTCCCCCCGTGCGGAGAGAAAGGAGATCGCCCCCCGTGTGGAGAGAGAGGAGATCTCCCCCCGTGCGGAGAGAAAGGAGATCGCCCCCCGTGCGGAGAGAGAGGAGGGTCGACTCACGTGAGGTGAAAGTGTCTGAGGAGGGGAAACAGAAAGCGTTACTGGACTCGGTCGCAGACCAGCTCCTCAACAACTTCATGACGGACACGGTGGCGCAGTTTGCTGAAATTAAAAGGGCTAAAGAGCAAAAGATAGACGCCTCCAATCAGATGAACGGAGAGGAAGGTGTTGATGAAGAGGAGGAGGAGTGGTTCCCATCTGTTCAACAGAAGGACGGGCTGCCCTTCTTCCTGCCTTCAGAGAAAGAGGAGATGACGTCTCCAGAGCTGTGCAACCAACCTGTGAGTGTGAACATCTGATTCTGACGTTATCATTAAATATACACATATTGTACCATTCTACTAATAAGACGCGTAACAACATGTGAGTGAGCAGAAACCCCACATGCGTCATTCAGATGACTTTAGTGTCCACTATATTTACTGGAAAGGCTCATTTTGCAAATAAAACAACTCGTACACAGTATAAAACATAAAACACACAAAGAATGCATCTTAAAATGACTAAAGTGGCTGCAGTAACGTTGTATTCAGTCCTTAGATGCTCAGTTGTAGTCAAATAAATAATTGAGTCTACATTGAAATTAGGTGATAGTGCTTTACATGTAAAACTAAATTGTTGTATTCATTTGTAAACCTCAAATGTGTCATTCAGATTACTTTAGTGTCCATTAGGTTTCCAGAAAAGGCTCATTTGGCTCAGCTAGCAATACAGAAAACACAAAACAAATGCATCTTAACGTCTTAAAGTGACTGTAGTAAAGTTATATTCAGTACTCAGATACTCAGTTTAGTCAAATAAAACATGTTATATACATTTAATTTAAGGTTATAGTGTAAAACAATTGTTGTATTCTTAATTTGGAGAATTAATATTACAGTTTGCACACTTTAATATCGCGCTATACAGTTATCCATCTTTATAGATTTTGTCCGTATGATGACACACAACTGTGGAAGAGGATTAAGACCAATAATAACTTTTTATTTTAGTTTTTAATCAACAAACAGCCAGACAGACAACGCAATAGCAGTTGGCAAACAAGTTAGGATGACAACAGTGTGATTTGAGTCCGACAGGATAAAAAAAGACAAAATAAATGAATAAAACAAAACAAAAAATGGACTGCGACAGGACAACAACAAAGTCAGAATCTAAAGGCTCTGAGTCTAAGTCCATTATTAATACCATAATGCAATTTAGAGATCAAATAATGTGTATAAATGGAACAAAAAGACCAAATATATCAAATAAAATGTTTTATTTTTTAGATCTGACAAACATTTAGTTATATTTTGAGTTATGAGAAAAAAGTCAGAATTCAGAAAATAATATATATTTTCAGAATTCTGAGAAAAACATGAATCTTAGAAAAATCGCTTTAGGTCAGATCTAAAAATATATATATCACGCGTCCATAATCCTCTAAGGAACACAATCAGAGCGAAAAGAGAAACAAAATGGCTGTTTTTTTATTCCAGCAACGCAAACAAATAATATCTCTTCCACTTTTTCCAATCTTCCGAAACTGTGGAATTATTATTATGATGATGTAGAGCAGTGGTTCCCAACCTGGGGTGCGCGCCCCCCCAAGGTCGCAGGAGGGGCGCGCCCCCCCAAGGTCGCAGGAGGGGCGCCAGGCCTCAGATGATTTGAGGCCATATTTAGACTTTTTTTTTTTTTTTTATACTTCAAGTTAGTATTAAAGGCATAACAAGACAGAAATGCATAATTCTTTTTTTAATAGAAATGTTTCTTCTGTGCGTAAACCGTCCAAACCAGGCTTTTCTGGATAAGCGCATGTTTAAAACATAGTCATTGTCCATGCCGGTTTCAGTTGGATTATTTGTCACAGTCGCTCCGATCAGATCGGTCTCCTCCATTTTGATTATGTACGACTTTTGAATCAACAGAAACACATCGGCAAAATCCGGCTTACTTTGAGCATGTGTTTTAAACAGTTTAATGCCTTTGTGAATTGTTTCCACTTCCGCCGTCCTTTAATGTCTTCATACAGCGGGAATCCAAATGAATGAATCCTGAGTCCAATAACCATCAAAGTCACTCCAATAGTGCTCCTTGATTACGCTTTCATCCTCCTTTAACACAATACTTCACATTCATCCAGTTTGTGACAGTAGTTGTAGCTTTTTGAGACTTTTAAACTTCAATTACCGCTGTTGCGCCCCCCCCCTTGTGTGTGTGGGGGGGCGCAACTTCCAACAGGAGTCATTTGGGGGGGCTCTAGGGAAAAAAGGTTGGGAACCCCTGATGTAGAGACTCCAGCCAGTCATGCCGTTCTGAAGTCCCTGACAAACAGAACGTGTTGATTTGACCTGAAGAAGCCTCGTTTTCTGATGTGTGCTCAGACAAAGTCCAGCTCTCTGCGTCCGCACTCTTTATTGGATTTGGTGCTGGAAACGCCGTCAGCAAGAAAGACACATCTTTAGAGTGTGAAACCAAGATTATTCTCACACGTTGTGGCTAGATATTCTACGGCAAGACAAGTTTATTTATAGAGCATCTTTCAGCACAAGGCCAGTTAAAGACATTAAGAGCATTAAGAAACATATGAGAGTGTTTGAGGCTCTCTGGCAGTGAATGGATTGCTTTAGTCGTTGTTATTGTTTTGTTTGATATAAGAAAATACTTTTTTTTTTGTCCGTATACTAATTGTATAGCATTAAAGTTCAAGAAAGGTTTGCGGACAAAAAAAACTGTCTTTTCTTCAATTCCTGTATTTTTTCATTTCGCAGGAAAAAATATCAAAATGTCAGTTTTTTTTCAATATCGTGCAGCGCGTAAAAGTAAATAAATAAAAACACAGAGAACTATTTTAATAACACTATAATTACATTAAAAAAATAGAGAATAACATAAAGCAGTAATTTACATTGAAATAGAGTGCAATCAAATATAAAATATGTGCAGTAAGCAAACCACATATTGTCATTAAAGTGAAACCAAGATTTAAAACCGGACTTGTTCTCACACGTTGAAAGAGGACCATGCATACAAATACATTCATCTCAGAAAAGAGAAGATATTATTTATGCCAGATTTGAGCTAATAGCTAATTTCCACCTGCAGTCCTCAGGCAGGTTCACAACAACCAACAACCACGAACAACATTGCATCATCTCCATCACACACACAATTAGAAAACACGATTTAAAGGTGGGGTAGGTCATTCCCTTCAGAAACACGTTTTGTTATATTCCATGGAATGCTCTTAACATCCCGATAGCAATGAATACATTAAATGCTTTGACAATAATACATAAATAAATGTCATCTGAGCCGGCCCGGCTAAAGTAACTGGATGGCCTACCTGCCTGTCAGCCTCCCATCTGTGCACACACTCATCTCGTGCCCTCATTGGTCATGTGTGCGTTCGTGTGTTGGAGGAGGGGCTCTGTGAGGAAGTCTGGAATTTTTTTCGGTTGCATATTTTCAAATTGTAGCGCACTCGAGCTGGTTTCTCCATTCTTACCAACCCCACCGTTTAAGTACAGGTCAATAAGATAATACATAGTACAGTTAAAAGATAATATTACAATACAGTTGAAATTGGAAAACTCAGATTACAGTGTAGTTAATGTTGGCTTGACTGGTTGCTTAATAGCAATTTGTTTGCACCACAAGAGAAGGATCTTCTAAATCAGGGGTCTCAAACTCAAGGCCCGCGACTTCATTTCATGTGGCCCCGCAAGAGCTTGCAAAGAATACAATATGTTTATTATACGGTTACATGCCACTTTACAGAAGCAGGTTGCCCATAAACTACATGTCCCACAATGCATCTTGTTTTGTGACATGCGCACTGAAGAGACTTGCAATTATTTGCCCTGGACTTCTGCTTTCAGACGTAGTTAATTACTAAGTTATGTTCCTATCCGATAATAATCCAATTCAGAGGCAATAATGTAATACATTATTTGATGTATACATTATATATTTATATAGTTACAACCGGCCCTTTGAGTGCAACCTTTATGCGAATGTGGCCCACGATGAAATTGAGTTTGACACCCCTGCTCTAAATGATCTTGTTATAAAGTGAGCATGGTTTTAATGTTTTTCTTTCTACGTCCTTCCCCACAGGAGAGTCCGATCCTGGGGGTCAGCGGGCAGGAGGAGCTGGTGAAGCGCCTGGCGGAGCTGGAGTTAAGCCGTGGACTTCTGGAGGATCTGGGCGACGACCAGGACTGGTTCGATGAGGACTTTGGCCTCAGCTCCCGCAGAGAGCAGCAGAGAATCAAACGGAGGGAGGAAGACGAGGAGGAGGACGAGGAGGAGGAGAGGCTGGGGAGGTTTTCATCATCCCTGGGGGGTTTTATCTCATCCTCAGGGGGGGAGCAGCAGGTTAAGATCCCCCCCAGACCTGAGCTTCCTCTCCCTCTGCCTCCAAAACTCCCCGAGCAACCCGCCATGGTGGTTCCTCACTCCGCCACCGAGGTGAGGAACAGTTTTTAAACCGTATTTGATTTTGTCTTAAAGGTCACCTATTATGCAAAATCCCCTTCTTCATGTCTCTTCTACATCAACATGTGTCTCCTCTTCTTCTTGTCTCTTCTACATCAACATGTGTCCCCTCTTCTTCATGTCTCTTCTACATCAACATGTGTCCCCTCGTCTTCATGTCTCTTCTACATCAACATGTGTCCCCTCTTCTCCATGTCTCTTCTACATCAACATGTGTCCCCTCTTCTTCATGTCTCTTCTACATCAACATGTGTCCCCTCGTCTTCATGTCTCTTCTACATCAACATGTGTCCCCTCTTCTTCATGTCTCTTCTACATCAACATGTGTCCCCTCGTCTTCAAGTCTCTTCTACATCACCATGTGTCCCCTCTTCTTCATGTCTCTTCTACATCAACATGTGTCTCCTCTTCTTCATGTCTCTTCGACATCAACATGTGTCCCCTCTTCTTCATGTCTCTTCTACATCAACATGTGTCCCCTCTTCTTCATGTCTCTTCTACATCAACATGTGTCCCCTCTTCTACATCAACATGTGTCCCCTCTTCTCCATGTCTCTTCTACATCAACATGTGTCCCCTCTTCTTCATGTCTCTTCTACATCAACATGTGTCCCCTCTTCTTCATGTCTCTTCTACATCAACATGTGTCCCCTCGTCTTCATGTCTCTTCTACATCAACATGTGTCCCCTCTTCTCCATGTCTCTTCTACATCAACATGTGTCCCCTCTTCTTCATGTCTCTTCTACATCAACATGTGTCCCCTCGTCTTCATGTCTCTTCTACATCAACATGTGTCCCCTCTTCTTCATGTCTCTTCTACATCAACATGTGTCCCCTCGTCTTCATGTCTCTTCTACATCAACATGTGTCCCCTCTTCTTCATGTCTCTTCTACATCAGCATGTGTCCCCTCTTCTTCATGTCTCTTCTACATCAACATGTGTCCCCTCTTCTCCATGTCTCTTCTACATCAACATGTGTCCCCTCTTCTTCATGTCTCTTCTACATCAACATGTGTCCCCTCTTCTTCATGTCTCTTCTATATCAACATGTGTCCCCTCTTCTTCATGTCTCTTCCACATCAACATGTGACGTTAAAACCTTTGCATCTTGAATCAGGTGGAGAAGATGGTGCACGTCGCCACGCAGGAGATCTGGGAGAGCTCTGGCCTGGGGAGGGAGGGGGGGGCACGGAGCCTCGCTCAGATGCCCACCCCCCAACCCTCGCAGGAGTATCTGGGGAGGAAGGAGGCCGGCAGCCAGGAGCAGGAGGCAGTCTGCATCCACAGCTACAGAAAGGTGAGGAACTCACAAAAACATCATATTTAGCCCACAGAGAAATGCAATGTGTATTACCGTAACGACCCGAATATAAGACGACCCCTCTTTTTCAAGACTCGTTTTTGGAAAAATACCTTTTTGAAGACCAAATCTTGTTGAAAATAATGATAACACACATTGTGCTCAAATGTGCCGTCTATTCGTCCCATCAGACGTCTCCTCATTCAGCTGCGTCTCCTCTCACATCACGTCTTCCCAGCTGCCATCCATGGCATTTGATACGCAGCATTTCTTGAACCCATTTATGATGCTCTCTCGTAACTTCGCCTCTCTTGTTTATTAACTCGCCTACTTTTAATCCACTCTGTTCCAGTTGTTCCCTGTGTCTCTCCATCTCTATCTCTCCTGATACTGTTACCGTACTTTAAGACGGTGTCTCGCTTGGGGAAACACTCACAACATCATCTGTTGTTGTGACTGTGTAATTACATCAAAAAGTCTAGACCCCGAATATAAGACGACCCCTTTTTTCAGATTAGGGAAAGAAACTCGTCTTATATTCGGGTCAATACGGTATACCCCAATCAGTAAGCTTAAAGAGAACATCCTCGACTACTGGCGAAAATCTGTGGGAGAGAAAACTCCCTCTGGAGGAACACAGGGATTTTAGCCTCTGCAGACCATTTACATGCACTAGAAATCTATAGAACACACTACAGGAAGCAGAATAGGGCCTCTTTAACTCTGGGTTGAGTTATTTAATATCAGCAGAATGTTGCACTAGTGATGAATATATACGCCTGGGTTCTATTAAAACCTCGACTGAGATTCTACCAAACGAATGTACCGGATACTATTCTTAAAGGAAAACTTAAAGGTCACATGTCATGGCCATTTCCACTGATCATAATTCCATAGTTGAGGTCTACTAGAATAGATTTATACTGTGCAATTTTCCAAACTCACATTGGTTTCGCATACAGCATCTCTGTAAAGTACGTGTATTCACTCTCTCCACTAAACGGCTCGTTGCAGCTCTTGCCCCCCCCCCTCGCTGTGAGCCCAGTGTGCTCCGATTGGTCGGGACCAGTCGGGACGTTGTGAATCGCGCTGAGCTCCGTGGAGGTGTGATTTCCTTGTTTAGCGATACACAGCCAAACACAGCCAAACTCACCCTGAGCACACACCAGGGTTCGTACGGTCATTGAAAACCTGGAAAAGTCATGGAAATTGAAATTGAAAATGCAAATTCCAGGCCCTGGAAAAGTTATGGAAAACAATATTTTTCCCAAAGTCATGGAAATGTAACTAAAGTTGCGTCAAATATAATTTACATTTAATCTAATCGCTGAAATAATCTGCGGTCGCGAGCTGTTCTGTGCCATCATGACGCGCATGGTGTTATTTTTTAATATATGAAGCGCGAGCTGTGTGCTCGAGTCTTCCTGCCTGTCGGCTGAACTCTGCTGCTCCGGGATGAGGGTCAGCTACATTATCTACGGTGCGTTCGTTAACTGTGCGGAGTCACTGCGGCACAGACTGAGCCGCTGGTGAACAGCTGTTAGAACGGGCCGTTCAGGTGTTCAGAGCAGAGCGGCAGAGCGTGATGTGAACTGGAACGTTTTTCTGTCGCAATATTATTTAAGGAATCGTTGAGCTAGCTAGCTAGCATACATTGTCACTGTCTGCTAACGTTAGCTTTAGCCTTCGTTTTCGAATAGTTTTTTTCATAGGCTATAAACAGAGGTGGTATAAGTATAGATCTTGTACTTGATTAAAAGTAGAAGTACTCAGATCTTATACTTTAGTAGAAGTAGGCTACTCAGATCTTGTACTTAATAAAAGTAGAAGTACTCACATCTTGTACTTTAGTAAAAGTAGAAGTACTCAGATCTTGCACTTGAGTAAAAGTAGAAGTACTCAGATCTTGCACTTGAGTAAAAGTAGAAGTACTCAGATCTTGTACTTGAGTAAAAGTAGAAGTACCAGAGTGTAGGAATACTCTGTTTCAGTAAAAGTCCTGCATTCAAAATGTTCCTCAAGTGAAAGTAGAAAAGTATTCTCATCAAAATATAGTGAAAGTAGCGACAGTAAAAGTAGTCGTTGTGCAGATTGGTCCATTTCAGAATAATATACACTGAACAAAAATATAAATGCAACACTTTTGTTTTTGCTCCCATTTCTCATGAGATGAACTCAAAGATCTAAAACATTTTCTATCAACACAAAATAACCATTTCTCTCAAATATTGTTCACTAATCTGAAAAAATCTGTGATAGTGAGCACTTCTCCTTTGCCGAGATAATCCATCCCACCTCACAGGTGTGGCATATCAAGATGCTGATTAGACAGCATGATTATTGCACAGGTGTGCCTTAGGCTGGCCACAATAAAAGGCCACTCTAAAATGTTCAGTTTTATCACACAGCACAATGCCACAGATGTCGCAAGTTTTGAGGGAGCGTGCAATTGGCATGCTGACAGCAGGAATGTCCACCAGAGCTGTTGCCCGTGAATTGAATGTTCATTTCTCTACCATAAGCCGTCTCCAAAGGCGTTTCAGAGAATTTGGCAGTACATCCAACCGGCCTCACAACCGCAGACCACGTGTAACCACACCAGCCCAGGACTTCCACATCCAGCATGTTCACCTCCAAGATCGTCTGAGACCAGCCACTCGGACAGCTGCTGCAACAATTGGTTTGCATAACCAAAGAATTTCTGCACAAACTGTCAGAAACCATCTCAGGGAAGCTCATCTGCATGCTCGTCGTCCTCATCGGGGTCTCAACCTGACTCCGGTTCGTCGTCGTAACCGACTTGAGTGGGCAAATGCTCACATTCGATGGCGTCTGGCACGTTGGAGAGGTGTTCTCTTCACGGATGAATCCCGGTTTTCACTGTTCAGGGCAGATGGCAGACAGCGTGTGTGGCGTTGTGTGGGTGAGCGGTTTGTGTGTTGTGAATCGAGTGGCCCATGGTGGTGGTGGGGTTATGGTATGGGCAGGCGTATGTTATGGACGACGAACACAGGCCACTCGATTCACAACATTACCCTACCCCTACCCCTCACACCAGATACTGACTGGTTTTCGGACCCCCCCCAGACCCCCCCAATAAAGCAAAACTGCACGTTTCAGAGTGGCCTTTTATTGTGGCCAGCCTAAGGCACACCTGTGCAATAATCATGTTTTCTGATGTCAATGTTGTGAATCGATTGGCCCGTGGTGGTGGTGGGGTTATGGTATGGGCAGGCGTAGGTTATGGACGACGAACACAGGTGCATTTTATTGATGGCATTGTGAATGCACAGAGATACCGTGACGAGATCCTGAGGCCCATTGTTGTGCCATTCATCCACGACCATCACCTCATGTTGCAGCATGATAATGCACGGCCCCATGTTGCAAGGATCTGTACACAATTCCTGGAGGCTGAAAACATCCCGGTTATTGCATGGCCAGCATACTCACCGGACATGTCACCCATTGAGCATGTTTGGGATGCTCTGGATCGGCGTATACGACAGCGTGTTCCAGTTTCTGCCAATATCCAGCAACTTGGCACAGCCATTGAAGAGGAGTGGACCAACATTCCACAGGCCACAATCAACAACCTGATGAACTCTATGCGAAGGAGATGTGTTGCACTGCGTGAGGCAAATGGTGGTCACACCAGATACTGCCTGGTTTTCGGACCCCCCCAGACCCCCCCAATAAAGCAAAACTGCACGTTTCAGAGTGGCCTTTTATTGTGGCCAGCCTAAGGCACACCTGTGCAATAACCATGCTGTCTAATCAGCATCTTGATATGCCACACCTGTGAGGTGGGATGGATTATCTCGGCAAAGGAGAAGTGCTCACTATCACAGATTCTTTCAGATTTGTGAACAATATTTGAGAGAAATGGTTATTTTGTGAATATAGAAAATGTTTTAGATCTTTGAGTTCATCTCATGAAAAATGGGAGCAAAAACAAAAGTGTTGCATTTATATTTTTGTTCAGTGTATATGATATGTTTTATAATGATTGATCATGAAAGTGTTCTCAAAGCTGGTGAAGGTGCAGCTAGTTTGAAGGACTTTGTATACTGCAGGGTAGCTGGTGGATTTACTCCAGGTGGAACTAAAGTCTGATTCAACACTTGATTAGATTTCACATCATTCATCCACATCTGTGAAGTAACTAAAGGTATTAAATACATGTAGTGGAGGAGAAGTACACCATGTACCTCTGAACTGTAGTGGAGTCGAAGTACACCATGTACCTCTGAACTGTAGAGGAGTAGAAGTACACCATGTACCTCTGAACTGTAGAGGAGTAGAAGTACACCATGTACCTCTGAACTGTAGTGGAGTCGAAGTACACCATGTACCTCTGAACAGTAGAGGAGTAGAAGTACACCATGTACCTCTGAACTGTAGTGGAGTAGAAGTACACCATGTACCTCTGAACTGTAGTGGAGTAGAAGTACACCATGTACCTCTGAACTGTAGTGGAGTAGAAGTACACCATGTACCTCTGAACTGTAGTGGAGTAGAAGTACACCATGTACCTCTGAACTGTAGAGGAGTAGAAGTACACCATGTACCTCTGAACTGTAGTGAGTAGAAGTACACCATGTACCTCTGAACTGTAGTGGAGTCGAAGTACACCATGTACCTCTGAACTGTAGTGGAGTCGAAGTACACCATGTACCTTCAGGTTCAGGTTATTTATTTGTACCCGTAGGTAGATTGTTTGCAGAGGAAAAAGACAACGGTTCCATCCTGACACTAAAAAGTGTGTTGAGTTTATGAACTTAGTTACTTTACACCAGTGGCTATAAAGATAGAAAGACTAAGCCTTGCACAGAGGCATGAAAATACATTTTCAAAATGCTCAACAGTGCTGCCAGAATTATAAACTGACTGCTACACAATTAAAATAAATGCTTTTATATATTTCTATTAGATGTGACTCTTTAGCGTTTCTGTTATTATTAACACTGCTGCTTTAGTTGTTCTGACTGCTAACA